AAAAAAATTGAATGCATAAATCACCTTTTACGCAATTATTGCAGTAAATTAAGAGATTTGGCAGCAAAAAAAATTTCAACTAAAATGAAACCTGTGGCGCCAGAATTAAGAAAAGGTTTGTCGAGTAATATACTGAGATTAAGACTAGGAATCAAAACAGCGATAGCACACAGAAAAAATGAAACAAATACTAAGTATGGAAATTCAAATGAAAAACTTAATAAAAGACATAAAAAATTGTCCGTACCATGTCTTTGGACAACATACAAACTGCGATCAATATTTTTGTAAGGGATCCAAAGAAAACGAAATAAACTTTGTTATGAAATTAGAAGAATGCGGATTATTGAATGACATTCTCTCGTGTGGGAACAGACTAATTCAACATACTCATAGCTTATTGTTGAATATGAATAATAATGCAGCAGAAACGTATAACTCTGTGATTTCAAGGTTTGTTGGGGGTAAAAGAATTAATTTTGTTTTAAGAGGTAGCTACGATACACGTTGTAAAGCTGCAGCGATATCATTCAATGAAAGAGAACATTACATAAGAAAATGACCATGAAAAGTCCAGGAAAATATACAAACAAATACATAGAACAAATAAAAAGAGTAGGGAACAAAAGAAGACTGCGTAGAGAGTTACACCCAGTAATAAAGAAAAATTGCACCAGCTGATAAAAATTACGGTGCATTAGATATAGAAATAACAATAAGCGAGAAAGAGAGGTTTTTGGAATCCTTACAAAAAAGTAATGAGATTGCAAAAATAGAACAATCTACCAGGGGCCAATCTACAAATTTTTTGTGGAAAGAATACAGACACAATCTTTTGACAGCCTCTAATTTTGGAGTTGTATGCAAATTGAGGAAATCTACAAATCCTGCAAACACCACAAAAAAAATAGATTTTCGCGGATCTGCTGCTACAAGGTGGGGACAAGATCATGAAGCAATTGCAAAACTGGAATTTGAAGTAAAATATAAATTAAAAGTACGCGAATGTGGATTATTCATTTCTGCAGAAAATCCGTTTCTTGCAGCGAGTCCGGATGGCATTATTGATGACAATCATATCGTAGAAGTAAAATGCCCCTATTCGGCTTGCAAGTTGTCCCCAGAAGAAGCTGTTACATTAAAAAAAATTAAATACCTAACACGTGAAGAAAATAGTTTGAAATTAAAACACACTGATAATTATTTTTATCAAGTTCAACGATAGCTAGCAATAGCTCAGAAAAAATATTGCTACTTTATTGTTTGGACACCTATGGGTTTCATTGTGGATAAGGTACATATTTATATTAGTTTATAAACGTATTAGAAACTTTTTTTCATGTCAGGATTTTTAATGTATTAACACATAATGTATTAACAATATTTTTATGATTACTATTATTATTATTTATACATCATTATTTATCGTATACTTAATACTGATACCTGCACATACAAAATTACACAAACTAATTTAAATAATTTCTAATTACAGATAGAAGCCGAGCCGGAATTTTGGAAGCAAATATTGCCAAAATTGAAAAAATTTTATGTTGAAAATATGTTGCCACATATTTTAAGTAGTTAAATAACTATACTTTAGTCACTGACATAGAACAACCAAGAACTGCTTAAACGTTTCGAGAGAAAAATTCTGAGGAAAATATATGGAGGTGTCCAAGAACAGGGTTTGTGGCGTAGGCGTTACAACTTTGAGTTATACAGAAGTTTGGGGAAACCTGACGTTGTAAAATTTATTAAATTAGTACGCCTTTGATGGATAGGACATGTAATTAGGCGAGATGAAGATGAAACGATCAGAAAAATTTTCGACCGAAGAGGACCAGTGGGAAGACGATCCAGAGGAAGACCAAAACTTAGGTATCAAGATAACATAGAGGATGATCTAAAATACATCTGAGTTAAAGCATGGAGAAAGTTGCCAGAGGCAGGGGCGAATGGAAGATTGTTCTGAAGAAGGCTTTGGCTCATGACGAGCCAAATGCCACTGATGATGATGATGAAATAACTATCCACGATTTGTGTTTTATTCATCAATTGGATACTTTTCTTATTGAACTGCAACCTATAAATATATTAAAATAATGTATATTCCATTCAGAGCTAAGACATATAAATTAAAAATGTGGTTAATTCTTTTTAAAACATTATCTACGATAATCAATCTAAAAAAAGTATTCCGACAAAACTAATTTGAATGGAGAATAATGTATTTATTGTCATTAAACAACCCGTGGGCCGGTGCCACTGAATAAACATCCAAACAAATTAACACTGCAGATTTCAAATTAGGAAGTCACGTAGGGTCTGACGTAAGCAGTGTAGAAAAGTAAGTGATACACCCACTTCAAATCGCAGTATGCTTTAACTGCGAAAATAGCCTAATATGAGTAACCACTTCCTACTGCACTCTGCTGATGAATTTGCAACAGAATTGGTCTCATTAAGCATAATTAGAGCTGCATCCTTGATTTTTCTCTTTTTGGTAAAAATTTACATTATACGGATTTGCCAAAAATCGCATTTTTTTGGACTTAGCCTAAAAATGCGAGAAAAGGCTAAATTTTAATAAAAGTGATGGAGGAAGTTAATAAAACTATGAAAAATGATAAAAAAAAATTAAAAGTGGAATAAAAAGAGGTAAATCAATAAAAATGGACAGTGCAAACAACTAATAAAATAGTAAATTATCATAATAATATGACATGTAATAAAACAATTGCGATTATCAACAGTATTTTGATGTTAAATCATGTAAAAATGCTTATTAATATTGTTAAATAGTCCAAATTCATTTAAGTTGCACATCAAAATTACCGTTATGCGCACTAGTTGAGTTTGTGTAGACCTGCACATTGTTGCCAGATTTAAAATTTATTTTTACGGAACAAAGATATATATATATATATATATATATATATATATATATATATATATATATATATATATATATATATATATATATATATAGTTAAATCAAAAGAAGTCAAATTTATATGTGATATATTAACCTACCTTAGTATGCCGGTGGATACAATTCTGCCGCAGCTTTAAAAAAATGGTGCAGCCTCTCCGTGTGGTCAGGATATCTCCTTTTGAAGTAAAATTCGGCGAGGTACCCAATAAAATGCTCCTGCCTGACGCCATATTTAGGAATACTACTGCGAACTTCCCGCCACAACCTCTCAATGTTATTGGTGTGTGTGCTAGTATCAGGGTCGACAAAATGCTTGGAATGGTTCACAGTTTGATGTTTAAATCCTTCGTGGGCCAAACAATTATAAGATTTCCAACAATCACTATTAATGGTTGTCCCAGGAAGAATCCATTCGCGAATTATTCCGAGCAAAGTATCGGCATCCCTACTATCAACAGGAACAACGAAAAAGTTCCCAGTGTTTCGCTCGTATCCTCCAAATATCCATTGGCCAGTATACAGACGCCCTCTATTGTACTTCCTCCTCCCAATTTTGGCTTCGTCAACTTCAACAACGGTATGAGGGCCACCAATTTTTGTAGAGTTTTTAACGAAACTAATAAACACTTCTCTGCAATAACTGTACCAATTTACCATAGTAGAAGAAGGGGCATCTCGCAATTGCGGGCACTCTAACCTAACCAAGCATTTATATGACATTTAACGTTCGCTTAAATGGTGTCAGAGTTGCCAAGTCTCCAGTTTTTTCATACTCTCACATAATATACAAATGTTGATTAAAGTGATATATAAAAAATTAATAGTATAGATTTTAGTTAAATTAAAGATAATAATCAAATGCATATACAATAAAATTGATTAAAATTATATAAAAATTAATAGTAATAATTAAATTACCGTATATTATAGAAATGCATTGAAATTATATAAAAATTCAAAGATTTTAGTTAAATTAAAGATAATAATCAAATGCATATACAATACAACTGATTAAAATGATATAAAAAATTTATTTAATATATTTAAATCTTGTAGCTTCTCATAATACAAATTATAATTTCGTAAAAGTAACTTATATTTTAAACCTTCATATACATTTTACAAAAAAAAAATACGGCAAGTTTTATGCTTATTTAAAATTTGTAGCTTCTCATAACACAAATTATTATTTCGTAAAAGTAAATTTATATTTGTAGCATTCATATACATATTTTACTAAAATAAATACGGCAACACTGTGACGCAGTGCCTTGAGGAAAATATATTTGGTTAGGTTAGAGTGCCCGCAATTGCGAAATGCCCAGAAGAAGATATCCCTAAATCCTTCTCCAGAGGCTCTTGGCGTGGAGGCTTTAGATGCAATAAACGGTATATCCACAATTTGTGAATTTTAAGTTGTAAAGGAAGTAATATAGAATCCATATATACAATTTTTACATTCGTAATAGCTGTGAGTCAAAACGAAATAATTACCCTCTTTTTACTATCTATCTACAGCCTTCTCTTTGTTGTTACTGCAAGATGTCTGACATTAGAATCAAAATATTTGTTTAATTTATAAACATGTATTTTGGGATAATATCACTAAAAATATGTTATTATTTAATTGCTAACCTGGCAAAATTAAGTCACTGCTAAGAAAATGTAGACTGCAAACGTACATATTAAAAGGTGTTACTTTCTTTTGGATCCTTAAAGCATCAGACCATTTTTTCTTCAAGTTTTCCAGTTTAGGAAAGAGAAATACATATCTTTTGTCGATCTTGAATTGCATTGAAGACCAGAACCCTATGATTTAAAATACTTTAACATAGTCATAATGCTGAAATTTACTAAAAAAATTTAATAATTCTATTCAAATATTCAAATCAACAGCTGTCTGGTTTGTTTATGTTTACACCATTTTTAGTAGTTTAAATTTATTCCGCCAGAGGTCAGATACTTTGTTTTCAGTCGCGAATAGGCAGCGCCACAGCCAGCTAAAATAACTTTAGGTGGCTGAGGCAGCGGTAATTATTGATAGTTGTCACTGTCACACGTCACTTTTGTGTCAAACTGTCAGCTGAAAGCTGCCGTAACAATTTTATAATTGAATGGTGGAAATATAAAAATATACAATATTTAATAGCATGGCTGCAGCTCTAGGCCGAATTACTAATTTAACAAAATCACAAGTTGGTACGTAGATGCTTTTAGTCCTTGATCAATACGAAAACATAACCTAATTGGTTTTGTTATATAATTCATGATTTACACTTTTCAGGACAATTTCTCCCAGCGATATGTAACAATCAAATTGTCTTTTACTCTGGACCGCCACCAGGTACTCCTCCACCTCAAACTAAAACGAAGTTTGGGCCTCTTGCTGATGAAGATAGAATTTTTACTAATCTTTATGGCAGACATGATTGGAGGCTTAAAGGTGCTATGAAAAGGGGAGACTGGTACAAAACGAAGGAGATCTTATTGAAGGGATCAGATTGGATTATTAGTATGTATCTTAAGTTAGTTCATAAATCAAAACAATAAATTATTCAAAAGATATACTGAATGATGATACATTTTGTAAATGCCCAATCATACAACTTTATATTTTATTACATATTCTACAGTCAGTAAATTCTTACACTTTTTTTAATAGTTTTTGTGTGCATCCTCTAATTAATGTACTATTACTTAATATAGAGACTTAAAAACTAAGTGTTCAGGCTGTACTTATTCTTTTTGTGTAGTTTGTCTAATTTAGTAACTATTTCTTTCAGATGAGGTAAAAGTATCTGGTTTGAGAGGTAGAGGAGGAGCTGGTTTCCCATCTGGTATGAAATGGTCTTTTATGAATAAGCCAGGAGATGGACGGCCTAAATATCTTGTGGTAAATGCTGATGAAGGAGAACCAGGAACTTGCAAAGATAGAGAAATCATGAGGCATGATCCCCATAAGCTTGTTGAGGGATGTTTGATAGCTGGCAGAGCTATGGGAGCTAAAGCTGCATATATTTATATTAGAGGAGAGTTTTATAATGAAGCTTCAAATATGCAGGTTGCTATTGCAGAGGTAAGTGTGTAGATTCTTGTTTATATAAATTAAAAGTAATATTAATTGAGAGAAAAACATAAGATAGATTGGAACACAGTAATTATGTATTAAAATTGCCACACTCTTTTTTGTATCAAACTATCTTCAAAGAAAGTTTTTGTTATTGTTCTGAAGCTATTTTCTTGTGGCATTTTAAAGTAATTACTGTTTAAATTGGAATATGCCACAATTAAAGGTAAGTAAGTTTATTGTAGTTTCAATTTTCATTTAAATTGTTCTAAGGACTGGAAAAATAAGTCCAGATCACTTTGGTACCTATTATATATTCTCACCATATGAGTAAGAGGCTTGAAGTATTCATAATTAAATTGATGAAATGGTAGATGAAATAATAAAGTATGTCATAGAAACCATTTTCAAGTGATCAGCTATCATACTATAACAGTATGGGACAGAGAGGTCATGAAAAGCACTACAGTAATGATAGTGTTTACTAAATTTATGCTGAACATGATCAAGCTTGTCTATAGATGTTTGATAGTAGTGAAAATTGAGAAGTGTTTCTAGTTATAAACCCTAATTGTTTAAATGCACTGTTTACTGTGACCTCTAGATGCTTACGAAATGCTAATTTACAATCAAAATAAACACCTAAATCCTTAACACAGTCCTGTCTAGACAGCTGAGTGTTATCAATGCTATAATCGTAATTTAAAATTGTTTGCTTCCTGTGAAAAGTAATAACACAACACTTATCAATGTTCAATTTTAATTCATTTAGTTTGCACCAATCGCTAAATCTGCTGAGATACTCTTGTAGCTGAATTTGATCATACTGACAAGTAATGACTATAAATTTTTTTATCATCAGCAAAATTGAGAAATTTTGAATACTTAATGACTTTCTCAACATTGTTAACATAGAGGACCACAATGTGACCCCTGTGGAACTCCAGAGAGGATGTCAACAGTTTGAGACAACACACCATTTATCTTAATGCTCTGGGTGTTACCCACAAGAAAACTATCATGCCAATCAAGCCATTTGCCAGCTATACCAATGGCTCCTAATTTACTGATTAAATAACGATGATTTACTTTATCGAATGCCTTTGAGAAGTCAGTATGATGCTGTCCACCTGGTACTTCCTCTCAAAGGCACCCAATATATCATCTTGGTAGACCAACAAGTTTGACACTGTGCTCCTCCCCCTTTGAAAGCCATGCTGTTGGGGTATTATTATATTATTTGTTAGTTTTTGATAAGTGAGAAGTCAGTAGTTTGTTGAGAAGTTTTGGGATTGCTGACTGTATACAAATTCCTCAGTATTTTTCAATATCTTCCCTTTTAGCTGACTTAAAAATGGGTACAATATAACTGTTCTTCCAGAAAGCAGGGAACTCACCAGTCATAAGAGATAAATTATAAAGATATTTTAGGGGCATAATAAGAGAGCATAGACAGTGCTTTAATAATACCGGTGGGATTTCATCAGGCCCTGAGGAGAATTTGTTTGGAAGTTTTCTTAATTCATCAAACACTGATATAATGTCAACTTGAATTAGGTTTACAGGGTCAATGTGTCTGATACAGTTTTTAAAATCTGGAATGGGAGCACCTTGATCTTTCTCATATACACCAGAGAAGAACTCAGCAAAAAGGTTAGCAATTTCAATATTTCCCTGTGCCCTTCTGTTACTGAGATACATTTCTTGGGGGTAACTCAAAGATTTACAAAGTCTGCCAATGTATCCCCAAAAATCGCTGGGGTTATTACTAAAATTTTTTTCAAGAGACGAAAAATGTTGTTTCTGACAAAGTGTATGTTCAACTTTACATTGATCATGCAGATTAGAAAACAATAAGTAGTCCTTGTTTGATTTAGATAATTTAAACCTCAGATGAGCTTTTTTCTTTTGAATAATAAGATCTTTAAGTTTAATTGAGAACCATATTGGGAACTTGTAGGAACACTTGACAGCCTTCATCAGGGAACAAAAAATATCTAAACACTGATACATATAGCTGTAAAATATTTGACAAGCCTCATTTATATTATTACAATGGTATAATACATCCCAATTAACTGAAGACAGATAAAGGTTAACAGAATTAAAATTACAGTTTTTGAAATCATAAAAAACCTACTCTTGAAATACTTTATTCTATAGTAGGTACTTTATTAGTACAGAATAATATCTTTATTCTACTATAGTTGGGGACTTCTTCTGTTAGATTGCTATATTCTGCTGATGGGTTTGCTACACATTTTTCTTCATTGAGTAGCTGCTTCTTTGATTTTTATCTTTTTCATGTTTGTTTCTTTCATTGTTGCATCTTTTCATTGTACTCTATGCTCATTGTTCCAGGCATGTTTGCATATCTGTGATCTGTCAAAGTCACTATTTAACATATGTTTCATGCGCATTTGTCTTCACACTTAGTGGTCTTACGGTTTGACCCACATAGAAATTGTTGCATTTACAGGGTATTTTATAGATGTCAACATAACATAACCTTGTCAACAGTCAGGGTTGGGCTTTTTTTTAATTGCATAGACTATAGCATTTTTAAATTCTTTGGTATATATTGAAATCCGCTCGTATATGTTAAAACATCGAAATATTATTCTTTCAATCCTCTTTGCGTCGACAAGTTGATAATAAACACATTTTTAGAGTTTGTGTATATATCATAGACGTATATTCTTTGGTATTTTCTTTGATCGTTTTCTTAATTTCGGCTTTCTAAGCCTTTCATCGGCTTAATATTTTTCAAATAAACATCCATTTAGATCGCTGAGAAAGTATTGCGGGGAAGAGAATTACATCACTCTCGGTACGGTCGGTCGCTGTTAAAGGCGTGTTTAGTTTTATTGGAGTCCGAATTTTTCTTCAAATTCGTAATGTTTTGTGTTTTAGCATAGTAGCAGTTTAATGTGTAGTTACAGTTTTACGTGAGGTTTAAAAGATTGGTCATTGAGAGCAGATGTCGGTGTATGTAGTTTGAAGAACCTGGCAAATTTGTTGAAAAAAGTGAATTATACTTAATGCAATGTGTCAATTTTGAATGAGTAATCAGTGTGTTTTATTTTCCATGCTCTCATCTGAGATATTTGTAAAACGGCGTTTACAACAAATTTGAAAGATACCCATATGTTCCATTGTTGAGTTTGTAAAAAGACGAGTTTCCAAAGTTTGCGTTCAGTGTCAATTTCAGCAATTTTACCCTGTAATTTCTGTCCCCAATTTGCAACACCCCATAATAATACCCTATGTGGCAGGCAAAATATTTGTTTCAAGACTAGGTGTCAATCAGCCAGTTACAACATAACTAATACCTCAAACATAAAAATTTAATGACTGCAAAGTCCATAAAATATCAATAACGAAGTGTTGTATAATATGATTTAAGTGCTAAAATTAAAAGAAGATACAAGTTAAATATAGCTTCTTTTCAACATCATCAGTGTGTTCAAAAAACGGTATACATGATATAATTCAAAATTTATCTTTTTGTATTAATATTACATCCTTAACAAAATTATTTAATAATCTTTTTGAGAAATTTCTGGAGTGGAAAACGTCAAATTTTTAGGTAAAATGTAATTGTCATTACAATCAATAGTTGCTTAATCCCATATAAACATAGTATTTAATTAACTCTTTCTTAAAATTAATAACAATGAGGTCAAATAAAAATAAGAATGAATAAATATTTTCTAGGCATACCAGGCTGGATTTTTAGGTAAAAATGCATGTGGTTCTGGCTATGATTTTGATGTATTTATGCACAGAGGAGCTGGCGCATATATATGTGGAGAAGAAACTGCATTAATTGAATCCATTGAAGGTAAACAAGGAAAACCAAGATTGAAGCCTCCATTCCCAGCTGATGTAGGTGTATTTGGCTGCCCTACAACTGTAACTAATGTTGAAACTGTTGCAGTATCACCAGTAAGTGAAAATTTCATGGTTTTTAAATTTGAAGTTAGACAAATGTAAATCAATGTTTTTAGAGTATTTGCAGAAGAGGAGGTACTTGGTTTGCTTCATTTGGTAGAACCCGTAACTCTGGTACCAAATTATTTAACATTTCTGGTCATGTTAATCGTCCATGTACAGTAGAAGAAGAGATGAGCATACCATTGAAAGAGCTTATTGAATTGCATGCAGGAGGTGTTACTGGTGGGTGGGACAACCTTTTGGCTATTATTCCAGGAGGATCATCTACACCTCTTATACCAAAAAAGTAGGTTCTGATTTAATTATAGAGCAAAAAATGCTCTAATAAGTTGGTCATGGAAAAATTGCTTTAAAAATTAAATGAAATGTATGTGAAAGTGATTGATATTAACACTAACAGAGAAGAATTTTGAAGAATATTTCTATTTTTGAGAGCATGAATCTTTTTTTATTCATGATATATGATTTATATAATAAATATATAATATATATTTATTTTACTCAGATTTGTTTTCAGAAACTTTTTGTTGATATAACCAGTCCTACTGTAGTTACTTGGCTTATTGCACATCTTCTATTGCATATCATATAATCTGGCTCAGGTTCTAGTATTAATGACTACTGACAGCCAGGACTGACATCTTCATGTGCCCTAGAATGGCAGTGGCTCAGTCAAATTAAAAATTTTCTGTATCTGTGCTGGGTATCAAACCTAGGCTATACTACGTTTCACGTTTAGAAAATAACATTGCGGAGATAGGGCCATGTATTTCTTATGGACGATAGCAACACGGCGTTGCCACGACACACACAAGCACAATTTAGGTTTGTATAATTTGTATTTTCGTTTCCACAAACATGAATTAAATTAATGTTTTTTAACATAATTGACCAAAAGTGCCCATTCGAAACAAGAGATGAAAAGTAGGGAAAATGATTTTAATTAGATAAATAGTATTTACAAAAGATAATTTTATTTTATCTTATTTTAATTATAGTAACGACAGTTTATTTGTTTTTCGGTGAGAATACGATATGCCATGAATCATATAAATCAGAGAAAATATTGACCGCTTGGAATGCGTATATCTAATTACTAATTGCAACTTAAAATAATACAATGTGCGTATGTCAGCTATTTTATGTCGTCTCTGACTACATAATGATAATAAGGCTTTTATTTAGTAGTTATTCTGACATTACAGTTAAATATTAATTGAAAATGAAAATTCAAAAATTAAGCAAAGGGAATATCTTGGACATCCGTGCAAAAGAGAGTGTCTGAGAGTTTTGGCAACACTGATCTCCATAAGCGTAATGTTATTTTCTTAACGTGAAACAAAGAATATCTGGCTTGTTAAGCTAGTACTATAACCACTGAGCTATGGTTGCCACATTCACCTACAGTACTAAAAACATAGAATTTGACACATTTTTATTATTTTAGAGTGTGTGAGGATGTTTTAATGGACTTCGATGGTTTAGTTGCAGCCCAAACTAGCTTGGGAACTGCTGCTATTATTGTGATGAATAAACAAACTGATATTGTAAAAGCAATTGCTAGACTCATTATGTTCTATAAACATGAATCTTGTGGACAATGCACTCCATGCAGAGAAGGTAAGTTATTACTTTTTGAAGTAGTAAATAATTTAAAATTATTTTTTTTCTGCATCTTTTATATGATTATAAGTTCTAGTATGTTTTTTTTTATTGTAGGGGTAAACTGGATGAACAAAATGATATACCGTTTTGTAGATGGCAATGCAAAACCAGATGAGATTGATATGCTGTGGGAAATTAGCAAACAAGTCGAAGGACACTCAATATGTGCTCTTGCTGATGGTGCAGCATGGCCTGTACAAGGTCTAATCAGGCATTTTAGACCAGAGCTAGAAGAAAGGATGCGAAAATATCATGAAAAGAAGAGTGCTGCAGTTTAATGATAAATATATTATTATTATATAGAACTTAAGAATAAGGATAAATTACCATTTTTAAGTAATTTCAATTTTTTTTATTTTGTCCTTTTGGTTGATTTTTATAAATTGCAGAATGTCATAGTGTAAATTATTTGTTAATATCTCGTATGTAAATACTGTCATTGTATGTTAAATAAATTAAAAAATATAATATGAGTTTATTAAAAATACTATATTACAGCAATAATTCTAACTTAACACCATAAGACTGGATAGTAAGTTTGAACAACTAGTTTAAAGACAGTTAATAGAACAGTTTAAAAATCCACCGGAAACTAAGTTCCTGTAGCTGGCTGTATACCATGTATTTATACCTTTTATAAAGGATTTTAAATATTTTTTTTAATTTAAAAATGTGTAAATTTTGAGTGTCAAAATCCACATATCATTATAGTGTAAATGAATTGGGTATGAACCAGTGTTATGTATTGCTGGATTTCAACACCAGAGAGAAGAAAACGGCTTGCACATAAAGGTTTAAGAAAAGATTAAATCAAGCTACACGATCAAAAAGATGGCTCTACATGCAGCAGTGGTCAGAACTTGAGAGAAATTAGATGCCATTAATATTATATAAAAATAATTATCAACTATAACAGAAAATATAATCATTTGTTTTATTTCTAGTGTTATTTACATACATAGTGAATTTCTCAAATCCTGTACAAAAACATTACCAATTAATCATATTTATTAAAATATTAACTTTATGTATTTGCATTTTTGTGCAAATGTGATAATGAACCAAAAGTTCATTATCTATCAATTTTATGTTTAATTTCACTGCATGTTCTATTAACATTTATTTACAATCATGAATATCCTCTTCATAATACACTTGATAATGTTGCCTTAGTATTGGGGCCTTTCCTGAAAATTTATAAATGGTTAGATTTTTGTAACAAAGAACAAAAAAGCCTAAATTTAATAATTTTTGTGATTTAATGATATGATCTCTCTGTACCCATTAGAGATTTCTCAGTCAATGATATTGTTTATCTTTAATATAATCGCATCTTCAGTGCATACAAATCATCATCTTTCCTTTATATATATATATATATATATATATATATATATATATATATATATATATATATATATATACATATATATACATAATTGTTGAATTGCTGCTTCCCTAATTATTTTCGATCAAAAGTCATAAAAAACTATTTGTAGAGGACTAAATTCTAAATTAAAAACAAATGTTAAAACCGTTCTATGAATCAAATGTACTTCAAAATTTTTCAAAAATATAATAGATTTTTCAGACCGCCCCTAAAAGTTGGCCACACGTAATACAAGAATATATTATAACATGTGTGTTTTATCATATTGATATCAAATGTTTGACAATTTGAATTGTCAATTTTTTTATTTTATGATTAAATTATAAAAAATGAATTTTACTAAATACTACTACTACTGAACAATATTACTTTGTGAACAATAAATTATCAATAATTACAAATCGATCAATATAATGAAATGTACTCAGTTGACGAAAAATCGCATAATGTTGTATTCAGGCAATAGCGCGAACCTTTTCCTGTCACTACCGGATCTTTATTTAACATAAGATATTCTAATACACTAAAATTTAATTCCATGTTAAGTTAAGTTATACAACAATTCAATGAATTCCAATATACTGGTACTGTGATCTTTATTCCTAATAATATACGATAATTTCTAAACATAAAACTATAACAAATGTTATAATAATAAAAACATTTTTATTATTGCTCTTTTCTCCTTAACTGAGTACATTTTTTAATCAATTTTTCTTTTAAATAATAAATCACAAAATTTTGGCCATTTAAATCATAGATAAATATAATATAGTTGATTTAAATATTGTCAAATATTAGAAACGTCAATATGACAAAACGCAATATGTATTACACATTCTTTCACAGTGTCTGGCCTGACTTTTAGGGGTGGCCTGAAAAATGTATTATATTTAAGCTAAATTTCGGAATACGTTTAAGTCATAGAACAATTTTAAGAATTGTTTTCGATACATATTTGAGTCCTCTACAAACAGTTTCCCATGAATTTTGGTGTAAAATAATTAGGGAAGCAGGAATTCAACAATTTAGAATTTCTCATTGAGTTTCCTATGGCCCGTTTGACGATTCACTACCCTGTATATTATAGTATATATATATATATATATATATATAATATATATATCTTGAGCAATGTCAATAATAATTTACCTCAGTAGGTCTTGTGTAACTGTCTTCTATGACTTTGATTCCCCCCTTACTCATACTCACTGAATCTTCTTTCTACTGGGTAATTTTAATTTTTCTGTCAAACTTGCCTATCTTATTATATATAATTTCATTGTGACATATATCAGTGCCATGTCTACTTTTTGATAACTTTGTGGCAAAACAGACTTCATTAGTGCTTCTTGTATTTCAAAGTCCAAATCTATGATAGATTGATATTTAAATATGCCTTTGTTATATTCGAGCAGTTTACCCCTATAAGCAGAGCATAAACTGACTAAATTTTCTTTTGCATTTCTACACTGTTTTTAAAACTCTTTTTAGCAAGATAGAAAAACTTATCCTTGTCAAAATATTCTTCCTTATATGTACAGGTTTAAAGAGTATAAAGCTTTTTGTGGAATTGTAATTCATTCAGTAGGTTTTTAGAAAAAAATCACCAAAACCACTAATTAAGGCAGTTTTTTAACCAAAAATTACAAATAACTCGAAAAAGGAAGCATTTCTTTGAAAAATTATCAAGAGAGAAAAAGTATTTACCTTGATGAGATAGGTCTAAAAAAATTTTACTCAAAGCGATTTGGGAAATTGTTTATTAACAAATACTTCCAGCCCACTTGGAAAAATAAAAAAAGAACTTTGATCTTGAAAAAATATATAGAATTGAATAAAAAAGAAAAAAGAGGAAGAATAAAAGTGTGGTAGAAATGCAAAAATAAATTTAGTCAATATATTCCGTTTCTAAGCGTCTTTTTAGGGGAAAACTGCTTGTCTATTAATAAATTATAAATTAGGATCAATAAGTAGGTAATAACCAATCAGAAAAATGGTGTCGAAAAATAATTTATTTACTTAATAATCTGACAATGTATATCACTTTTAAATAATAATTAGTCTTTCAGATGAAAATTTCTCCCTTAACTATCTGATTATAGATAATTGAACAGTTATACACAAACTAACAATTTAAAACCAAGAGGCAAATTTTCATATTAGTAAAGACATACCATCATTCTACAATTTCTAATAGCACTGCAATTACTTGATTTTATCACTAACAAATACTTACTCATCATTTATCAAAGGCAAGCATGAAAAATAACATTTTTTGTTAAAAAACAGTTTAAGTAACATATACAGATCACGACATTGTTTTATTGACCATACAATACAATAGCAATCACTGTGAAATGTTACATTTCCACCTCTACATTCATTTCACAGTAGGTACGAATTGTCGAAATTGTCACATTGATATTAAAAATTTCAAACGATGTTCTAAAAGAATAAACAAATAATTAATAAAATGCCTATTATGTTGTATACTGTCCAAGAAAAAGAGCAACTTGTAACATGGTACTTTCAGGGTCAAATAATTTCAATCAAAGTAATTGATTTATTTATTGTTGCCTTCTAAAATAGACCCCACCAAGTGTTACAACAGTTAAAAATACCATTAAACATTTTCAAAATTCGGGATGTATAAACAGTTGTAAAAAGTGTCATGAAGGTAATGTTAGACCTGTAATGAACCACATATTAGACCTGTCGATGAGGAGCATCAAAACAGGGATACTGATATTTGTGCTTTTGTGGAAGCTAGTAAACCCTACAATAGTGTACAAATTGCTGGGGAAGTTTATGTGAATGTTCAAACTGTCCAGTGAATTCTCAAAAGGAATGGGTATCACTGTTTTAAAATACAACCAACACAATAACTGTTTCCAGAAGATAACTTTAGGCAGATGGACTTTTGTGAAATTATGTTAGATAAACAGAATGAAAATGTACACTTTTTAAAAAATATTTTATTTTCTGATGAATCTCATTATTACATAAAAAACAATCCATCTGTTGCAAGGTATTAGTCTCAGAAAAATAAGCACCTCAGTGTTGCAGTGCAAACGCAGTGTCCACAAAAGTTAAATGTTTAGACTGGGATGTTAGGCAACCATATTATCGGTCCATTTTTTATCGATGGAAACCTAAAAGGGCAGAAATATTTACAACTTTTACAGAATGAGATCATTCCAACAATTTGACACCTTCCGGTTAATTTTCAGGAGGTTTATTTCCAACAGGATGGGTGTTCGGCTCACAACACTAGAGCAACTATTGACTTCCTCAATCAAATGTTTCCTGATCGACTGATAAGTACACATGGTACAATTAAATGGTCCTCTAGATCCTGTGACCTAGTGCCTAACAATTTCTTTTTTGGGGTTTTCTCAAAGAAAACATTTATAGGCATCAGTTTGAAAGGGCCACAAACCTAGTTGAATTAAGGGCAAAAATATTTCATTTCTCTGCAAGCATTACACCAGCCCTACTCCAAAATATGAGGAGAAATCTGTATGACAGATTTGGTTACTGTTTAGTACAACAAGGTGGAATATTTGAGCCCTTAATTCATTAATCTGCTTTCCTAATTTTTATTTTTTGTTAGGTACATTTTAAGAAGTTTGTGGTTCTTAATTAGGTAGTATTTTTTATGTTTAAGTCTGGAAGAATTTTATTGTTTTTTTTTTATTTAAAAGTACAAACGATTCTTATTCTGTTTTTTTTTCTTCTTTCTTTTTTTATTGCTATAAGCTTCGTCCATAAAACTTGTACAATTTTCAGTGACAATAAAGCATATTACTTATTTATTTGTATTGCTATTAAGGCTAAAAAAATAATCAAAATTAGTTTTAGAGCATTATAATAAATATACTCTAGAGATGGGATTGCAATAAATCTTAATTCCTATGGTCAACAAAACAATGTCATTATCTGTAATTACATCATACAGCTGTATACAAATTAGTGAAAATATCCATATGCAAAAAGTAACTTGTAAGTATTACAGTTGCATTTGCAAGATATATAAAAGCATATTCTGATTATGTGGAAATGAAACATTTTTTCATACAAAAAAAAATAACTTCAGTAGCTCTAACACTCTGAATGTCCTAGATTAAATTTTATCATTGCAAACCATTCCCAACCTGCTGAATACAAACCAAGCATTCAGCAGTTACTGTTATGTGTGAAGTTATGTATAGGTATAAATTAGTATGGAAATAATATATACTCATCAATAACATCAGATCCACATCAAAATTAAAAATAGTGATCATTGTTTGAGATCATTATTATTACAATTATTTTAATATTTATCATTTTATAACAATTTTCATTAATAGAAAAACATTCAAAAATATTATTTTCTAACTATGTTATATTTTGTAAAAAATTTGTAGACATAGTTGATATGTAAGTTAGATTATTGTTAATGTAAACAGTAAACAGTGTATTTTTTTAAAAATCATGAATACTTGAATCAGAATACCACTTTTCAGACATGTTAGTGCCACATAATCTTTATATGACATCAATTTAATAAGTAATTAAAAAATTTACAATAGCGGTTCATTGAAAATGGAAACTTACGATGAAACTTCATCATTTCCTCCATCAAAATCAAGTTTTACATCTTCATGAAGACCTTCTACATCAACTTCAGATTCTGCAGCATTTAACATATTTAAAGTGACTTCAGATTTTATCATAGGTTGCTAAAAATCAAATGTTTCTGTTAGATATTATGAATTAAAAAAGACATTGGTCATAAACTAAAACATTTTTGTAAACTACTGGGGAAAATCTGATATATATAAAAAAATCATACCTGTTGAAGCTGAACTGGCGCTACTGACTGATTAACCTGTCTCACTGGCAATCCTGCATCTTCAAAGGCTTTCTTCTTTAATGCCGTCCTAATTTGGGATCTAACATTAATAAAAAAAGAGTGTTATGATACATATGTTTCAGAAGAAATTGGGATAAGTGACTTACACTGTACGCCTTTTTATATGATCACTAATTTGGTTTAATCCATCTGAAAATTGTTTGACAACTTGGCGTAGCATCTCAATTTCTTCATCAGTCCATTTTCTGATTAAAAAAATAATATCCTATTGAAAAAAATATAAAATATTTTGTTTTGAGAATAAGATGAATTTACGATTATGGTTTACTTTATGAAATTCTGGGGAATGTTGAAAAATACTCTAATAAAAAGCTCTACCAGTTTTAACCTTTTTTACTACATTATCAAACTGCCCATTCAACTAGGTTCTTTATATTAAGTTCAAAATATTATTTTTAAATATTCAATATACTATTCTTACCCTGTAGGAGATTCTGCATTAGGATGTAATTGCATTGTTAGATCTCCTAATCTATTAAAAGCTTGGCCTGCGGCAGTGAATATTTCACCAACCTGTAACCAATATTAAAGCTACAATTTTTATTAAAGCTATAATAAAAGAAATATATTATACCTTGCTGGCTGAACTCATAATTATTTAATTGAAAATAAAAAATACTTATAAATTCATTCAAAACATTTCCTGAGTTTAAACATGAAGTTAAACACAAATCAAATAATCAAAGTCAAATGAAATGTCAAAGTCAGTGGAAGAACCGACAAATGTCTGCTTCTTTTTTTGTGTATCAAATTGAGTTTCAACAGAGACTGAAATATATTTATTAAATCGACTTCCTGTTTCTAGCTCTAAAAATATAAATAAGGAAATTTGTTTATATTTTCATATTAAAAAATATGTTGTTAAAAATATAAAATTTTGTCGTAGGTGCTATTTTGACAAAAAACTGTCAGTATAAGAACCATTCTGCAATCTAATACTATCTATATACACTACTATAAAATCTATAAAGAATTTTTTTTATTTACTATTATTTATCTGCTATTCTGCTGCTCATTAAATACGTTCTTTAAAGATTATCAAATATTATCCCCTCTTAATTAAGTAATGATTATACACAAATTTGTTGTTTGAGAGGACATTATTGGATTTGATATTATTAAATTATTTTTATTTATTACTGTTAAATGAAGATATATATTTTAAATTTTAAGTGGTTTATTATTTAACAGTACAACAGTAGGTTTTCTGTACGTCTGTATTTATTTGAGTAGTAGTTCTATTCAATATGCTTTTGTAAGTGGGGGTAGTTATAATAGTCCAAAAGATTAGGTTAGTGGGAATGTCAAACAAAAGAAATATTAGTCAACAAGTCAACATAGTCATTTACAGTGATAATTGCTAAGTAATAGCATCGTCATATGCGGGTGATTTCAGCAGCAAACAGTAGATTTAAATTTTAATAATAAGGTAATAGTGATAAGAAGTAACTAAATCAAAAATAATTTTAAAATGGAAGGTGGACCAAATATTCAAGAAAAGGAGGATGAACCTGCAGCTCCGCGGGGGTGTTTTAATTTCCTTTGTCACCCCTTAGGTTCTGGCCATAGATTTATAGCTTTAATATTCATGTGTTTCCTAAGTTTTGGTAAGTTTAAAGTTTTTTTTTCTCAAACATAAGGTTAGATAAATTCATGGTTAGATAATGTGTAATTGTAATCCGAGATGTAGGATGTTCTCTACAAATCTTACTGAAAGTATTTGTTTAAAAAACTATCTCATGTTCTTTGATAATATTATTAACAAACCATTACATATTCTTATCTTTGTTTATATTATATTTCCCAGTATGACAATTTGCTGAGATTAATTATTCTTTGTGGTTGATAATCTTTGATCCCTAGCATATATGTTTGGTGTAATTAGGTCAATTTTTTGTTTTGATACAAAAATGCAAATCTACTGTGTTTAGTATTATCAGGAATAATTTTTATGTAATACAGCGTATATTTATTTAATAACATTTACTCATAAATTATTTGTTACAACTACCAAGTGGATAAAATTAAAGGCGCAAATTAGTTGGCGCATTTTCGAATCCTGAGCAAACTAATAAACATTTTCACAAAATTTTCATTTCACAGAATGAAAGATTAAATTATTACCGAGGGCCGAAAGTCCCTTAGCATAAACAAAAAGTTTTTTTGAATGAGATATTTGAAATCAAAAATCACACTAAATTTTCTCTTCTTTTTCATCCCTGTAACTTATTAAAATAAACATTATGGAAGTTTTCAGGGACTTTCGGCCCTCGGTAATAATGTATGTAGTCTTTCATTCTGCGTTTAAATTTTTTTAAATATTTATTAGTTTTCTCAGGATTCGAAAAAAATGAATGCATTTAAAAAGAATTGGCCCAAAATTTTGCGCCTACGCTCTTAAGTTATGGTTACAAATGGAAGCTGAGAAAATAATTTTTTGTTTAAATTTTTTTAAACTCTTATAAAATAAAAAAATAATGATGTAATTTTCTAGCATTATATGATATTTTATACTTCAATTTGAGATACTCACAAATAGAATTTATAGATCAGCATGTGATGTTATGTTGCACATATACTAGAGGATACATACAACACACCCTCCAATATCTTAGATTAGTCTGTACTGATTACAGCAATATTTGTTAAAAAAATCCAAGTAGGTATAGTTTGAGCTTTTTTAATAAGTTTGGGAACAAGAAATAATCAAACTTAGCTGAATATGGCAAACGCAGTAGATCATCTGATTAATGCATATCCCAGTTGGTGTAATTTTCCTCATGGAATGGCTGCTTTGTGAGGGAGTACATTCTTTTGATAAAAGATCATTTTGCTAGTCTATCAAGTGCTTTTTTTTTAAATTAAATTGGTCCAATACAGCTACATAGAATACACCAGTTGTTGCTGTATTTTTTTCCAAGTAATCTACAATTTTCCAAGTAATCTACAGCTAACAATTGTTATCAATCTTTTAGACAATTATATAATCTTAGTTTTCTCTGGTAGGCTTTCACCATTTCTTCTGTACTACTTTAACTTTTCTTTTTTCGTCTATTGGTAGAAATGGGTCCATATTTCATCAACAATCATATTGGCAAGAAGAATAATTTAGCCTGCATTCTATCATTTCCAAACAATTCTTGGAGTCCAGTACTATGTCCATTTTTGGTATACAATGAGAAAACACACTTATTGTGCAGATAGCTCTTTTAATCGAAATTTGACAGTATCTGCTTTTCTCATTATTAGTGCAACTTAAAAAAAATAAATAATTGGTATGTATTTAAGAAAAACTTTAATCAATATTTTACTTGCCATGCAGAGTATTTGTCATTTGATATTTTAAACAGAAACACAATAATACTAGCTGGTATAAGTGAAAACTTTTTTATATTTATAATTATAGTGACGGTTTCAAATTATCAAGGATTTATATTTTGTGGTTGGTTGTGTATAATACATCATAAGTAAACAGAAGAGATTTTAAAAACGATTTTAGGTTTTTTCATTTCCTTAATCTAAGAGAAAGCAGATGTCCCATGCAATGTGGCAATTCTTTGTTCTAAATTGTTATTTTCCTGAATTTTCCACATTTTCAGCTGGAGCTTACTCAAATTCTCGTTATAAATCACCTTTCATAGAAATTCCTCTAAAAATGGAGTTTGGTAGAAAAGGAAAAAGAGAAAGACCTTAAAAATCATTTAGAGATTTAATTAAAGATCATTTAATTTAGAGATTGAAACATGTTTTTCAATTTTAAAGCTTGTAAAATTATTGGGTAGTTCCAGCCCATGACGTCCATGGTCCAGCCTATCCTGCCTACCCCAAAAAGCCGCCACTGTTTTAAAGTGTACCAAAACCACATACAATGATATTATATTTATTGATAACAAACGGGAGAAACCTACAGCAAAATTATACAAGAATTCAGCATTTAAGAAATATTCAATATATAAAATTACAAATAGAAATAAAATATATGTGAATACAATAAATAAGTACATACACACCAAGTACTTCATATTAATCTAAAATAAAAAAAAATAAAAAACAGAAAAAATATTAATATTAGCATATTTCTGATCTGTTAATGTTAGTCAAATTTAAGATTTGATTTTATTATATTGGATTCTATTTTATTCTATTTGATTCTATTTTATTCTACTTTATTTCATTTTATTCTAATTAATTGTATTTTACTCTATTTTATTCTAATTTTTTTTGAATGGAAAATGAAGAGATTCTCCAAACCACCCCATTAACATACTTTCCCATCTGTTATGTTGAAACTTCATTGTTATTATTTGGAGCTGCAACACCAAATACTTACAGCTATGTCGTTATGTCAATCTGTTAATACTGACATTTATTTTGTTATAGTTTTCTTTGTTAGTCATAGTATGGCACCATCTATTAGTTATATTAAAAAGACAGAAAAATTGTTTTTAAGGTCTTTTAATACATTTTTTTTTGAAAATTATCTTTTACACAAACCTTCTCCTGATAATAAAAAACACAGCATTAAAGAAGCACCTAATTTGGTTCAGTCGTTCTGAAGTTATGCTTTTCTGAACATTTTGGTGATTCATTATTATTAATATGGATTAATAAGTTGTATGTTAAAATCATTTCTATTGTGAATTTCTATTTGGAATATATTTTGACACCTGACAGATTTTTTCCAGATTATTAATTAATTTCACAATATACTGGTTTAATTTAAATACACATTATTAAACCAAGAGCCGTAGCATTGTTGGTTTGAAGAGTACTACATTAACAATGGTTTTATAAAGTTTAAATTGCATATTTTTAGTTACAAAATTTGTTATGTTAATTTGTTATGCTATGCTAACCTCCTGAGACTCAGAGTATTCTTTTTAAATAGTTTCAAACTATTTTGGGTTGTTACCCTTTTATTTGATTGCTACTTAGAATAAAAAATGGCAAAAAATATGCAATGGAAAATCTGGCTTTTCTCAATGTCATATAAATATAATGTGACATTCTGTCTATCTGTTACCAAAATAAACTTAAACATAATAAAGAAACAGTACAATAAATACTCATATTTTAGCAATATTTTACTATTCATTATTTTTATATACAGAACAATGTATTAAAACTTAGTCTTTGGTATGAATGTGTAAAGAACAATTTCGTTTCCAATTACTACTTAAAAATATCTTACACTTTATACAAAATACAGTTGTAGTATTTTTACAATTGACCTTTCTGCATCTATTTTGTTTATCAGCATATACCACTAAATGTTCAGCCTCATGAAGACGTTTAACTTCGGCAGGAGTGGGTTGAATTTCGACTCTTTGTTTTTTATGTTTTGGCTTCAGGTCTTCGTAGTCGCTACAGGTCTCAGAATCGGAAGACTGAGTGTTGTCAGAAATCATTTGTTCTTTCATTTCTAATTTGAATAATCTTAGTTGAGGAATATTTTTGCCTTTTGTACTGCTCTTTATTGACACCAAGAGTTGCAAACTACTAAATCTAGCAAGTGGCTGATGAAACGAATTGTCCACTTTTTTGTATGTGCTCGTGCCGGACAAACTGCCAACATTCTGTCAACAAGGTCAACTCCACCCATGAACTAATTGTAGTTCTTGATCACCTCAGGTCTAACCATTTCATATTCCTTTTTACGTTTTAACCATTTCTGCATTGATCTAGGTTGTTAGTAGCGTGGTATATTGACAGAATCGTAACAGGTTTGTTGTCTAACCAGCGAGTTATTTTAATGCTTTAATCACCTCAAACCTTCATTTCAGATGGACCTCTTGGATTTTTCATGAACTGTTTTTCTGGAGAAAAGATACAATTCCAAGGGACTCTCTTGTTTACAATTGTGCCTGTTGCGTGGAAACTTCTTTCTAGTAATATATCAGCAAGTTTTATTGTCGTAAAATATCGATCGAAGTAATGACCAGGAAGTCATGATGATTTATGTGATGACGAGGAACAAGACATTTCATCTACTTATATCATCAGTTTTTTTTTGAGCATAACATTGAACTTTTTAATACACTGTTAAGATACTGTCCAAATTTTGTTTACTCTTTGTTGATCATCGATTTCATTATCAAAAACAACCTTTAGAGATGTTCTGATTATAAAAAATTGGGTTCGTTTCATAGCATTTTTTGATGATTGGGACACCATACTTTCTCGACCAATATATTCTAATTTTCGGGAGCTCTATAGCACTCATAACGAATAAGACACCAATAAATGTTAACTCTTTACTTGCCAATTTCAGCTCTATTCCTTTTCTTTCAAGGTATGTTCTATTTGTTACTACAGTCATGGTTTCCAATATGTCATCAATATATTACTTAAAAAAACTTTCAGGAGACCCCGACTGACAATCCTCATCTTTATACCTTGGTTGGTACAGGGGTCTTCTTTTTAGGGGAGAGAAATGACCAGTCCATGCATAAGTTAAAACTGGTAGTGGCACTGGAGTACAATAACGGCGACCTCCACTACGTCTTACTCTTGTTCTGGCACCACGACTACAACCTACTCTGATAGATCTACAAGACATACATGTTTCTTGTGTTAGTCACGATGAGAGTGATAGTACTGACTCCGA